TTAATTTCATTTAAATTCACTTAATTTATAAATTAAAAAATAAAATTTTTAATTTACATACGTGACCATTAATATTCCACTATTAAAATTCTTTTTTTATAGCAATTATTTATTAGCGAGGTGAGCCTTGTCGGTGATATAGTATCACCGACAAGGCTCATCTTGCTAATGTTCAATTCCCTCAAAAAGTAAATTTAACTTTAAGTAAGGTTAAATACTTAATTTGGTCACTGAACTTTTAGTTTTAGACTAAGTTCATCCTTAAACTTATAAAATTATCAAATTTGTCCTTAAACTTTATTTTTTCGTTATCAACTTGTTAATTTTCCTTAAAATTTAAATTTAATTAACATTGTAAAATGATAATTATTTAATTATATATGTTATAACTAATTGTTATTATTTAATTATTTACCTAGCTGACCAAGTTTGAAATTAACTTCTTCAATTTTTCAATTTTACATGTGAAAATGTGGATTATACATAGAGGTTGCCAAATCATCCATATGGCACTGGTTTTTTTACATGTAATTCTTTGAATTTCAAAAATATAAATTCATGGCATGTTAACATGCTAGTTGGGTACTTCTGTTAATGGAAGGACCAAGTTGGCAGTGAAAAAATAAAGTTTAAGGACAAATTTGATAATTTAGTTAGGCAGAGGGTGGCTGCCGGTCTATCTAAAAATTTTAGCAACATAGTTCAGCAACAAGAACCATGTTGCTGAAAATGAAGATCACTTTTAAGTATTAGCAATATAGGTGTTGTCGGTGAAAATCCACACCATAAATTGCCAACCAATTAGCAAGAGCATGGACAATCGAAAAATTTTAGCAACAAGAACCATGTTGTTGAAAGTGAAGAACACTTTTTGAGGGAGTGAGTACTATTTAAGTATCAACAACATGGGCTTCGTCGATGAAAAGTTATATCACCGACGTGCAATTCCATGTTGCTAATACTTAGTTGCTAAAAAAAAAGATTTTAGTAGTGTGTAATATGAATAGATGTAGGGCTTGAAAGTAAAGGTGGGTTATTTGATGGAGGTGCCCAAAAGATTATTATAATGGGTTAGGTCCCCTCTCCCATTCAGAAAACCTTATCTTTATAAATAGTAGAGTTAGGGAATAGCATGACCCATTGGTTGTCACTATACAAAAGTTGATTAGGGAGAGGAAGACCTAAATCCCAATACTAACTATATTTATTTTGTAGGTTTTGTCATGAGATCTTTAATTATAATGATTTTTGAAGATCCTTGAAATTCTTAGGTAATATATTGATTATGGAGATTCAAGGTACGCAATTTATTTATTTATTAATTTTATGTATTACATATATTACTAATTTGAATGATTTGGTGTTTTAGAATCTAATTTGTGAGATTGATTGTTTAAGTAAATTCCAACATGTGGTATCAGAGCCACACAATTAGATCTAAGACCCAAATACTAAAGAATGATTTTGGTTATGTTTTTTCCGCTGCTATTATGCAAACATATTGATGAACAATTATCTATTAACGATGATGTGATTATGCGAGTTAAGTTTTGTTGCGATTGATTTGATCGGTTCTTGTTCTCTTTGATGTTTGACTTGCTGTTGTTAATATTTGGTCTTGTTGGGAATCAACTTATTCCATTAAGTATGTGTTTTAAAACTGCATCATGTTTCTGAGGCATCAAAAATTCATTCAAGCTTGAGTCTCCGAGTCGGTGAAGTATATATGATCTTGGTGATTGTTTTGTCCTGGGCCATTTAAACTTCCACTTTACCACCATGTGTTTTGTAGATGAAGCTTACATAGCTTGTCGTAAGATTAATCCTTAGATTGAGCATGTTTATAGTCAAGGACCCTATTAAAGGGAAAGCTCAAGTCTTGTATTATGTTTAATCTATTTTCAACTAATGGCTTAGGAGTAATTGAATTGAGTTAGTAAGTATGGGTTTGAGGAGTACCTGCAATATACATATATATATATATATATATTGAAAAGGCAGAAACGTGTTTTGGTTACTGAGGTAATAAACAAAGAAATTGGTAATTAGTCTTTGAATTCATAATATGCATATATATAAAATCCAAGAGTTTGGCATCATAAGATTATCGGTATGGGAGGCTGATTTTCAAGTTATCTAAAATATTATGTTGTAAAGTACTATTTATTGGCTTACTGATAACTATAACTTATGGTTATGGATCAAAACAGATTGATTATAAGGGATGATTAAAGGAAAGGTGCTAATATAGTCCCTTAATAGTTTTATTCATTGTAACTATGTCTCTAAAGTTTTTAAATTAATATTTTATGGTCATAAAGTGAGGGTTCGACCATATAAAATAAATAAAGTTTAAACATAAAGGGGAAATTCAGTATATAAGAATAATTGGTATTTAATCCCTTTATTTTCTCAAAAGTGTTTAAAATAATCTCCATGAATAATTATGTGATATGGAGATAAATTTAGTTAAATCCTTTTGAATTTATGAGTTTATGTTATGATATTTTTTATAATTTAAATGCCTTATTTGAATTAAGCAATTTTAAAAGGAGACAAAAAAAATTGGTTTGGGATTTGGAATCTTAATGGGAAGTGAAGAAAAGGAGTTGATTAGGATTGGGTATCCAATTTGTTAAGGAGTTTAACTAAGTTAAAATTTTCACTGGCTTGAACTGTCCACAAACAAATCAAACAACCAAGTCAATCAATTAAATACAGATTGATTTAACCCCCTCCCTCCTCCCTTCATTAATCCAACTTCACAAAAATCCTAAAGTTCAATTTTTAAAAAATAAAATGAAAATTTTTGTCCCTTGAAATTCCATTACAGGAGAACGAATCTCAAGTTAATCAGCCAAAAATATAATTGGATGAAGGAAAAGTTCACATTTTCAGATACATAATAGCATAGCCAATCAAAATATATGGGATAGTTCATTTTTTTCTCTCTTAT